CGTGTCGAGTACTCGGCCGGCACTTCCGACCACAACTGATTCTAGAGTATGTATTTGTCTTCCATTTTATTTCGCTAATTACCGAGAGATGTATAGAGAACATTACGCGAGATAGAAGCATAAAATGCCCGTTTCTGGTGAAAATTTAAACGTAAATTAATTTTAAAGTAAGTTTAATTAACTCTACTATGTATATGATACACATTTGATTAAACGTAAATTCATATTACTTAATGAGTTAATATTACATATATATTTATATTTATTACAACAAGTAATAAATAATAAATATTTATAATCTTATGGATTGATATAAATCTGAACACAAATATAAACGTAAAAACAAGTGATGGGTAAACCCACACGATCACAAATAAAAAATTGTTTAAATTAGAAAAGATCGCTTTCACGAGATTCAGTAGAAATCATATTAATAATAGCATAATTTGCAATTTACATCGAGACGCGTGGAGAAGACGGTAGGTGGAAACACAAAATAGAAAGTATTCTATTTTACGTTTCCACCTACCGTCTTCTCTACGCGTCTCGATGCAAGCTGCAAATTACAATATTTGGAAGAATTCTCAGAGCCATGAGATTTTATGCGGAAGTATTTTTAACTTTTAATAAAGTTAAGATTAAAATGGGCATACACAAAGAGCGCGGACTGGAAAATTCCTACGAAGTAGGAAGTACCCGTTAGGGGAATCGGATTTAGACGAATAATTTTATTATCGCTTCGCGATAGCGACACGACGCGCCTTGACTGGCGTATTTACAAAGTCGCCATGCGCATCGCCGAGTAATCAACTTCGCGGAACATCCTTCGGCAAATATTAGAAGCATTGTGCCGTTTAACAAAATGCTCGGTGAAAGGCGTAAACGCGCGTGAGGCACTGCGGAAATTAAATTGCACAATGTGACCTTTGGGGATGGCCGTGCATAAAATCGAGCGTTGCATATCCAACAGGCCACCTTAACGCCCTCTCCAACAGACGCGTTCCTCAGAATTCGTGGATCTCGTTCATTTACAAAGCGCGCTTTCATTTATTTAAGGAGATGCTGAAATTGATGACGAACTCGAACAATGTCATTAGCGCAGAGACGATCGTCATTGACACAATCACGCTATCTTTCTCGTATTTCTTATACACACGGGAAAAAAGATTTGGTTAAATTAACCAAATATGAACGATCCAGAAATTCCGATTGAAGTAACCCGAATTCTGTTTAAGTTAACAAGATTTTTGGCAGACTAACCAAACATGTCAGGTTATTTAACCAAACATGTTTAGTTAAATAACCAGACATGTTTGGTTAGTCTGCCAAAACTCTTGTTAATTTAAACAGAATTTCTGGGTCGTTATTCGACCAAATATTTGGTTAATTCAACAAAATCTTTTTTTCCGTGCAGAACTTACATAAATATGTATATACTATATATAGTATATGTATAAATATATATAAATATGTATAAATATGTATAAATATGTATATATATATATGTATATATATATATATATATATGTATAAATATGTATATATATGTATAAATATGTATAAATATGTATTGCTTTGTTTTCATATTCAGCGAAAAATCTAACCACGCATGTGTAGAAATCATTCTGCAATTTTTTTTGATATTTTTAAGCTTCTGAATTCAGATGCAAAGGTATTGCAATATCTTTCGTAAAATTTTTCTATTTGAAGCATCTGCACTTTCGATATAGTACAAGCTGTGGAACTTTTGGATTAGGCAAATATTATACGCTAACTGACAGTTTAAGATTTTTATATATTTAAAATATTTGTTTTGTTTTCGTCACACATTGAGCAATGTTATTTATTTTTGCATGTACTTTCATTGCATAAAAGCATTTATAATTCTGTACAACCAATACGAAAATAAATTTGCATAAAAGCATTTATAATTCTGTACAACCAATACGAAAATAAATTTGCATAAAAGCATTTATAATTCTGTACAACCAATACGAAAGTAAATTTTGCAGAAAAATGTCATTCGGTAAAGTTTTCATCATCCCCTTAAAGTCTGTATCAGATTATCGACTAAACAGGTCGACCTTTAGTGGACCAATCACAGTGAAGTTGGTTCACTTTTTGCATATTTTATGCATGTAGATATTATATAGATTGAAAGAAAAAAAACTTGAAAGTTAATTTATTTGGTGGGTACTAACAGCATATTTATTTAAATCTAAATCCTTTTATCTAAATAGAATAATTTAATATTTACTTTATATTTATTTAATATTTATTTTTAATAGTTACTTTTTGAAATTAATGAACAAAATTAAGATTTTCTTAATATTTTAAGGACATATATATTTTCTTATTTAAAAAAAAAATATTTTATATTAGTACAAGTAAATATTCTGTTTTTTAATACCTACCAAATAAATATTTATACTATTCCTTAGATATATTTTCTATCAGTAAAAATGTGTGTATGCTGCTTTGTTGTACTATATTCAGCGGAAATTTAATGAAAAATCTAACCATGCGTAGATATCTTTCTGCAAACTTTCGAATATCTTCAAGCTTCTCTAAATTCATGTGTAAAAGTAAGTAACAGTAATGTTCTTTGAAATTTTCTCGAGTGAAGCAAACACACGTTCTCTATATACAACAAACTGTAGAATTCTTGCATCAAAGAAATATTTACGTTGACTAACAGTTCAATCGAGATGACAATTTTTAACATTTTATTATTTACATCACATATTGAGCAATGTTTCAATTTATTTTTACACGTACTTTCATTGTGTAAAAATATTTGTAATTCTGCGCGATTTATACGACGTAAAGCTTATAGGAAAAAGTCAGTATTTTCAGACGATAAAGTTTTCAAATATAGCATCGCCTTAAGATATCGCGAATAAATCTCCTCAATCGAGCGTGTGCCTTTCGTCGCAAATACCCGTGAAACGCTTTCAAAAGAAGCATTTGAAAATGTAACAACAGCGCTGCTTGATTGTGTGATAACAAAAGAACAATTAATTTTTCAATTTCATAACGTGTTGAAAGTTCTTTAACCGGATTTTTTACGTTGATTAAATTATATAACGTTAATAATACGTATTTACAATTATACTCCGTGCTTTTTTTATCATTTGCTTCATTAACCGAGATTTTAATTATTCATAGATTACCATTTATTCATTATCACGATTATGTACAGGCGCGGGAGTAAAGGAATTTTCGCAGCTATTCGAGCACGGATCGGTATTCACCTATTTTCGGTATTTAACGAGTGAAGTGATTACGTGAGAGCGAGAGTGAGAATGAGAGTGAGAGAGTAAGAGAGAGAGAGAGGGGGGGGGAGAGAGAGAGAAAGAGAGAGAGAGAGAAAGAGAGAGAGAGAGAGAGAAAGAGAGAGAGAGAGATGCAGGGAATGGAGATTTTATGAACACAACGGAATGTAGAGACGACGTGCTCGAATATAACGAGCAACAGTTTGCGGAGTAGCTCGCTCGAGCAGAACTGTTGTTCGATCGGAGCGAATAAACGGGCGGGGGTGTTTGTTTACAAGATGCAAGGACGAATCGCAGTTCCGACATGCATCAGTGCAACGCCATTCCTTACGACGTTGCAGTGCAACGCGGAAGGTTCGCGATCGATCCCACTTTCTTGAAGTTGTTTCGCGTCGAAATATCGCTTTTGGAGGAAAATTGAATAACGTTTTGATATTTGAGATCTCTCCTCTATCGCTGACATTCTTCCTAATCGAGCTTCTTCAAGCTCGAGTTTTGAGATTCGAGCTCAGAAGGAAGCTGTGTGTTCCCTAGATTTGAATTGAAATCTTACGAAAGAAAGCGAACGCGTGAAAACAATCCACATTTTGTAATACGTCAAATATAATAAAAATACAAAGTAAAAGATAAAAGAGTATCAATTTCCGGACACATGGATACTCTTAATATTTTAGTCATTAAATACAAATATTTAAACATTCAACTTAGAATATACACTGAGAAAAATTACTCAACAATTTATTTGCGAGAAATAAAGTTTATTCACAGAAATGAATAAACTTTTTACACAAATAAACTTTATTTTACAGAAACAAATTTTGTGTTCCATAAATAAATTTTCAAGTATTTCTTTTTTCAGTATGTGTGTATATTTCATATACAGGGTGTTCTATTTTAAATAATATATTTTAATATCTCTCCTATAACTCGTCATAAACGAATACTGTTACGCAAGATCAAACTGACTTCATTATTTTGTGTCCCCCTCCAAACCATGCAATTTTTGTCTAGAAAATTTTTGTCTATGATGAATTAGAGAAGAGATATTAGATGCATTTAAAATGAGATACCTTGTAATATGTATGTGTACTTTTTATATTTTTTATTTTAGAAAAAAAATATTCATATTTATTAAAGTCCAAAATAATAAGAATGTTTAGAAATGGGTATATGTCCGGTCATTAGTACATGAAAAGAACAATATAGTTGGTCCACATATACAGAATGTCCCGCATAAAACGTACGAAAAGAAAAATATAAGTAGAACATATAAAAGTGAAACATATGGTCAAAGTCATTTTTCGAACAACCACGAAAAATTTCGAGATATTAATCAGAGCGCGCAACGTGGTCGGCGAAAAAATGGCCGCTTGCTTGCGAGCCTATCACGCAAATTTAAAACGTAGTCTCCCCTTTGGACCTAAGAGATAGGCGCGTGAGTAATCGGCCATTTCTTCGCCGGCCGTGTTGCGCGCTCTGATTAGCTCATCTATTTTATTTAATAACTCGAAATTTTACATGGTTGTTCGAAAAATGACTTCGACCATATGTTTCACTTTTATCTGTTCTATTTATATTTTTCTTTTGGTACATCTTATGCGGAACACCCTATATCTAGTTATGCCAGTTGGATTCGACATTAAATCTAGTATGTGTGAGCCAACGGTTTTTTTTTCTATGTACTTTAACCTATCTCTTTGAAAAATTCGATTCTCGTGTACTCACATTGACTAGTATTTGTAGCGCCTCCACATAAGAGCGTTCCGTGTCATAAAGCTCCACAACCACGTGCGTCCTCGTGTCCTGCAAAGCAGAAAAGACAATAGCTGTGAGCATTTGTTAAACGACGCTCAAGAGACAGATACATCCGACGGGAGGAACAGGATCAGCGAAAGAGAGAACAAGAGAGAGAGAAAGAGAGAGAGAGAAGAGACCAAAGCCAGTTGTCAGTCGATTATCGCTCGTCCCGTGATGAAGATTGCACGTGTACGCTCACGAAAGGCGTGCACGTGCAATGCTTCACGTGCGTACAACGCGACGAGCTTGATTATAGTCGTTACGCAACGTGGACGACGAGCCGTAAGGTGTTGCCCCCAGGTGCGCATCGCGGATGCAATCGCGGAAGGATAATGGGCACAATACGCCGTCGTCGAGATGCACGCCGGCGTCGGCGTCGGAGATGCCGATTAAAGGCGTAGTGCTTTAATCCTCGACTAATATGCAGTCTAATGGACTAGGCTACGTATCAGCTCGGGATCTTCCCAGGAACTTCCGCCATTGCATCTCTCATATTATCCTTACGATCTTTCTCGACGATAGATAGATCTCTTCCTCTCAGCCGTACCTCCGCATGTTTTCCTCTTTCCCGCATTGCTTTCACCGTTTTCTCAACTCATTCGGATATTCTCCGGGCGCTTATCATCATACCTTTATGTAGGTGAAGTAATAAAAAAATTGTGCATTGAAAGTAGACGAATAAAGATATGTATTTGCACCAAAGTGTGTTTGCTTTCTGTTAAGAGTAATTAAAAGTAAAGAGTAATTAAGAGGAGAATGTAAAAAATAAAGAGATCAATTGTCTTACAAAGTCTTAAAAGCTCTAGAAAGCATAAAATAATTTTAACTCAATATTTCTACTCTCAGTATTCGGCGTGAAAATCTGACTAATTGAGTCAATAATTATATTTCTTTTCATTATTTATTTTCTTACCCTTATATAGTTAGTTACTTAGCCAATTTGTCTTTTTTGTATCGATTTCTAATACGATTAGAATATTAGAGTATAAATACATAGAAATATTGAGTGAAGATTAATTCTTACTTTTTGGAGTTTGAGGTTTTTGAAGGCAGTTTATTTTTGTTCTTTATTTTATATTTTTTAATTATTCATTAAAAGTTTGTTTTAGAAGTTGGTTAAAGGAACTTTTTTGAAGTTGATTAAAAATGTAAGTTTTGTCTTATATCTAGATGTTCTCAAATCTTCAAGAAAATATAATAAAATTACCCAATTTCCACAGGTTACTCGAATAATGCCATTAATCTAAGAACCACGTAGATAACATACTGAACAAGCTATGAAAACAATGAAAGCGTAAGATAATAAACTTTTCGATGTAGAATTGCAAAGGAAAAGAAACTAAAGGTTAGAGAAATCAATATTAGATCGTAGTCTTTTCGTAGTACGCTCTTTAGTAGTAAATATGCCTGCAATATATGTCATTTCTTTTAACAACTACGCCACAACGATGTCCTGGAGTAACATCGCTCCGATTTCATGTTTGCAAATCGAAAAACAAGCTACAAAAAATTTCATCTCAATATTTCCAACGGTTCTCGGGTTATGAGGGAACATATAGGCAAACAAATCTACACACAAGGCAAACTGAGAACCTTCTTGTTTTTGAAGTCAACTAAAGAGAAACAAAAAAAGGAAAGAGAGAGAGAGAGAGAGAGAGAGAGAGAGAGAGAGAGAGAGAGAGAGAGAGAGAAAGAGAGAAACTGACCTATCTGACTTAAATTCAGCACCAATGCTAGAAATCCTAGAAATACTTTTGCGATATAGTACGTTTCAGTGGGGCTTACTCAACGTTTACTCAGAACGTCCGGAATGTTTTTCGCATGCAAAATTAGCTCTGCCTATACTCTATATAAACATCAAAAACGAGAACTACCCACGCGTTCGGAAGTGACGCGCTCATTATTCTCGCTGTCCACCGACGGCTGACTGATGAGCTTGCGATCAGCGTTCATTGTCATCCTCGTAGGCCACCTTTGCTGAGCTTTCAACTACGTGGACAGCCTCCACTCGCATAGCAGTTCCAGCGATTCCGCGGATGACGGCGCGCGTTTTTCTCGGTCCTTTTGACGATCTCGCGAAGTCGAACGCGCACGGAACCGAAGGCAAACGCGACGTTCTGACCAGTGCAACGAGTTTTCGCGAAACTCACGCGTCTCGCGATTTTCCCATCTCCCGTTCCGCGCGGCGGAAACGGCGAAACGGACGGGAAGAACTGCACGGACTTTCCCGTGCCGAAAGTCTGCCCCTCGAGCGGTTTTATTCTTGGGCACTTCCCACAAACTTCAAGTCGGCTGCGTTACAGCGCTTCTCGCTTCCACGCAAACTGCATTGGAAAAATAACAATTATATAATATAATCTTCGACGAAATTCAGGGAACTCACAACTCGTACATTTTGAGGAACTGAAGTTGAGAACGAAAAAAGAAACCGCGAAGCACTATTGAATAACAATAGAAGCACCTAATATCGTATAATATGTAATATCATATAGAGTGATATTTCAGCGACTTAGGCTCGTTAATAGTCGTCACTTGGAACTTGTTTTATGCGAGATCTGAATTTTTAGTATTGATAATTGTCACTTGAAACTTGTCTCACGTGAGATTCAGATTTTTCTTCAGAATTAGATCCAAATTTTTAAATTTAATTATATAATATGTGACATTATATCTGTAATCGCTATTCAACTAGTAAACTTTCATCTGACTCTGAACTCAAATCTGAGCATTACTTGAGAGAAGTTTCAAGTAACAATTATTAACTCTCTACTGTTCAAATTAATTTCTTATGATTAAAAAATTTTTCATATACATAGGACATTTAAAAATAAAATACTTGATATATATAAGGTAAAAATTAATTTTTCTAATTTTTTATTTTCTCAAAATAAAATAAATGCAACAAAAATGCATAAGAAATAAGATTGGACACAAGATATAGGCGCTTTTGGTTTATTGATTATAAATATAAAGTCAAATGTGTAAAATTATTTGTATAAATAATAAAATGTTTAAACAAAACATGTAAAAAGTTGAAAAAAATTATTTATACAAATAATTCCTCGGTTTGGCCGAAATTAGAATCATTTTTGACTAATTTAGTACAGATTTGAAAGATTTTGGTTGGAATCTCGGCTATAGAAATTTAGAATAATTCGTGTTTCAGCTATGCCGATTTTGTTAAAATTTTAATTAAAATTGCCGGATTTTTCTTGCGCGGTTTGGCCGAGATTCGAACCATTTAGCACAGATTTAAAATATTTTGGTTGAAATCTCGGCTAGAGAAATTTAGAATAGTTCGTGTCTTACCTATGCCGATTTTATTAAAATTATTTAACTATATCTTGTATTCAATTTTATTTCTTATGCATTTTTGTTGTACTCGTTGATGATAGGAGTGAGAACACTAAAAAGCTATAAACTGCCCGTGAAACTCAAAGTGGGCCAAAATGAAAAAAATATAACCTAAATATTTTTCTACATTTGTGTCAAATTAGAAAGAAATCGGAGTGTACCTTTTTGGGTAGGTTCACTTGTAAGTACACTGTACTCTGTTAGAAAACCGATGAAAATGAACTACATGACTTCAAAGTCACTTTGAGAGAAATTATTCGATAAAAGCAAACGGATATTTCCGATAAGTTTTTGTACTTGATCAGGATATCTGATGAAATTTAATCAGGTACTTTCGGCCACAATGGCATTCACCAAATAAACTGATGAAATAATTAAAAACCAATATTTCTCGTTGGATGATCGGATATAAGAATTGATCGACATCTGATCGGATTTTAATCACAAGTCTTCGCTTGTTAATTTCTTATCGGATAATTTCTCTCAATGTAAGTATACGATATCAGGAACTCTATTTCGCTCTATCGATTACCATGAGAGCCATTACTATCGAAAATCCCACTGCGTCTCCCTATTTCCTTATTCGCAACATGAGATCCCTAAGATAAGTAAATTCCGCGAAATTATCAGCGGCACAAGCTTTCAAGGAACCAACGAGAAAATTGCGAGAGGGACGCGCCCTCACTAAGAATCTGCATTGCCACGAGCTGCCGGCTTTGAAAGCTCGCTCTGAAAGCTCGCTTTTGAATTCCCTATTTCGCTCCACCATTTCCCACGAATATCGAGAGGCGGATAATTCCCGGGCGAATTTCTTCACGTCAGCCGATGGCTTATCGACGAGGGATCAACGCATGAGGGACACGGGAGGAGAACGAGGCGTCCGTTACGAATCGTTACCGACCGACATTGATCGTGTCGCGAGTGATCGGCATTGGCAGTTACGTAAGTTCCGGCTCTCGAGACAAATAGAAAAAGGCGGACGCTGGTGTGGCGCACTCGCACGTGAAACCGACGCACGTGTGCCGTCGGTGGGGAAAAAAGCCGTGTGTCGTCGGTCGACGTGTCGTCGGTACGCCTACTCGGACAGCGCCTCTTTAATAAAAGCTCACGGCACGGTTCGCACGTTGCGGAGGAGGCTCCTCTCTCGCGCCTCTCGGCAGCAACGGCATCGAGCGCGCCGACCGCTTACGAACCGACCGCCCGTTATATTTAGCGCCGTGACTAAAGGCCCCCGCGGCGTGTGTGGAGCTTGCAAAGCTCATCCCGCGGCGCTCTGTCTTTTTCGCGCTCCTCCGGCCTTTCCATCGAGTCGCACCCGATTACGGAATCGATCGCGCGCGCGCGCGCGTGAGCGAGCGAGCGAGCGAGATCGGTCGATCGGTCCGCGCCCATCCTTTGGTCACGTTGTGCGAGCATAATGACAATCCACTGGGCGAGCGCTTAATTACGCAAGCCGCCGTCTAATTAGCCGCGGAGTTATATCACAAACGCTTCGCGTTTATCCTTGCGCCTAAGTGGCCTTAGTTGCCGGGAGTTTCATAATCTCGCGGAGCTGGCGCGCTGTATCGTTGATGAGTTGAGATTAGAAAGGTGAGAGTGCACAGTTAAAGTCAAGAGCTTGCGACGGGGAAGTTGTTGACGCGCTTCCGGCC